TCACAGCTTTGTCTCCAGTCTTCAATCTGTTTGGCCGCATCCTCTCTGGCCCCAGACCATCCCTGCTTCTTCTGACCTGCCTGAAGCCTGCCCTGGTGTGCCAAAGGCGTGATGCAACTTCGGGGAAGATGCTGACTCAGAATGAAAGAATATGCAGGAGACTCGGAAAGGTTTGCGGGAGGCCTTTAATTGTCAAGAGCCCAGTCAGAAAACAGAGGCGCTGGTCAAGGACGTGGCCAGTCCAGGAGAGGCTCTGGAGCCGGGGAAAGATGCCCTGCACCTTGAGGCCTGCAGCATGCTGGGCTAGGGGTGGGAGTGGGTGGGTGGTCTCACTGCTTGGAGCGTCCAGCGTCGTGGCAGACGCCAAAGTTGGTGTTGGTGATGGTACCCGTGATGGTCTTGTCTGCCTCACAGGTCAGGCCACGCTCACAGGGACACTTGTAGTAAACCCCGTAGAGCGTCTGCAGAGACACAGCCAGTGGAGTCAAGGTAATGGGGGGATACGTGGGACATCACTCGCTTCTGCCTGATCTAGAGAACCAGTAGGCCAGCCTGTGTTTTTGGACAGTGCCTCTCCCACCTGCCTCCCCAGGGGTGTTGTGGGCCCTGGAGACCCCAGTTCTGACCTCTGCTCTGGCTCACTTGCTGTTACTAGCTTGATCTCTCTGGGGAGCCTCTATTTACCCAGCCATGAAATGGGGATAACAAATCCCCAGCCCCACCCATCTCACTGGTCACTTGGGAGGGTTAAGAGAGATGATGGGATGGGAAAGTGCTTAGACACCTGTCGACCTCCCTCTCGCCTCCTCAACATTCAGTGTCCAGGCTGATCCCCTTCCCTGACCCCACTCACAAGCGTTCAGGGCCCTCCTCCCCATTCTCCCCCACCCACGCCAAGTCCTCAGGCACTCACCTTGGGAGAGCACTCGCTGTTCTCACTGGCCAGGGGTGCGCAGCGGGCCAGGCTCAACGCGCTCGTGTGGTGGCAGCATTTGCTCTTGCACTGGGCACTATTCAGGCAGAGCTCACCTTCCTCCTGCCAGGGGCAGCCAGTCAGCCCAGGACCCACTCCCTCAGGTCCCTTCTCCACTCAGACCCGCACCTGCCACCCACTACGCTGACAGTGTTTCCCCTGGTGGAGATGTGTGTAAAGGAATCCAACCTTTGAGTTTGGTGGCTTCTGTGCCCCCCACTCATGTGAGAAGTGGGGATGCGGTGATAGAGACACAGCCCTGCACAGGGAGGGAGTCAGAACCCCCAGGTTCTAGTACCGCTGTACTACCAACTCCCTGTGTGAGTTGGTAAGTCACTGCCTCCCCAGCCTCAGTGATCCCATCTGGAATGTGCACATGAGGCCCCTAGACAGGCTCTCCAAGCGTCTCTGGGTCCCACACTTCTTTGAGGAGACTGTGAAAATTGCATCTCTCTGCAAGACTCCTTCCTCCCCCAACAGATCTGACCTATAATCTCCAAGGGTCCTGGACCTCCAGGTCCACCCATAGCCCTGAGTTAAGAGAGTTCAGAACCTTTTAATTGTGTGGACGTTCTGGAAGGGCTTTCTTAGCCGTGACTGAGCATCCTGAACTGTCGGATGCACAGAAGCTGGAATGATTGGCAAAGCATTTTCCCAGGATGGAAGCCCAGGGCTCTGGATTTTTATAAAGCTCCCTCATAGCCAGGTTGAGTTGCTGCTCTGAGCATGCTCCAGTTGGAGCTGGAGAGGAGCTGATCAGCCTTTCCTGTGGCCCCCAGAAAGAGGCACAGGACATGGCAGTAAACTGAGGGATGTGAGATGCCACTCCTCCCAGCCCCTGCCAGTCCAGGTGGGGACATCAGAGGTCAAGGTCCACGCTTACAACATCTCCATCTAGGGACTCAGGAGGCCCCCTTCTGAAGACCCTCTTACCAGGTGTATAACAAGCCCCCGGGGGTCAGGAGCCGCAGAGGCCACTGAGAGGGCAACGAGCAGGAGGATCAGGATCTTCTCCATGGCAAGTGGGATAGCTGGTGTGGGTGGCAGAAGACAGAATCAGCCGTGGTGATGGGGCTATAAAAGGGGTCCTGACCTCATGTGACCCACCTGTATCCCGCAGGGCAGACCGTGGGCAGAGGCGCAGCTGTGGCCAATCTGCTGGAGGGGTGGGTCCTGATAAGGAAGATGGGCGAGTACCTGGTGGCCTTTTGAGTGTGTGTGTTGGTGATAATCGTGTTGCATCATGGTTAAGAGTGTGGACTATGGACACTTTTAGCTCTACAAGTTATTAGTGAGGCAAACTTGCTGACTGTTCCAACTATTATTCTGCCTTTCATCTTATCTGTCAACTAAGGATAATTTAAAGAGTTGTGAGGGTTGAATTAATACACATTTATATGTGTTACAGATATATAAACATTATTGTATACAATTATAAGAATATATTTATGCTATATGTTCCCATATGCCACATAAGCGGTGAGTAAGGGCAGCTGCCCTCGTGTCCTGAGCTACTGGGCAGTACCTGGATGAGTCCGAGGCAAGAGAGGCACCTACAGCGTGAGTGCCTACTTACGTTCTGTCTTCTCAGGGCCTCTCTGCCTCACCATAGTCAGGCCTTGACTTTGGCTCACCCAGGCCCAGGTGTCTAGCTGTGTCAGACTCCAGGGATGGGGGTCCCAGCCTTCCACCCCTCAACCTTCCTTCAGTTTCCATGGGGTAATCCAGGGCAGGCCCAGGTCCCTGGGGCTGACAGCTCCGTACCCCCAGCAGGCCAAGGTGTGTGTGCTGTCACTCTGGCACCCTCCCCCGGCCCTCACACCAGGGGGCTGCCTGCAGGAGTGACTTAAGGGCCCTAAGGAGGCCCTTCCTACATGTCTCTCTCCCCTTTCCTTTCTACCTCACTTCCAGCATCAGACTCCCCTTTTGTTAAGGTTTCCACTCACGCTGCCCCTTACCCAAGGCCATGTGTGCTCATGAGCAGTCGCTAGTCCTGGCTGAGAATGAAAAGGACTTGTGAGCCTCAGATGAAGCGGGGACCTCAGGAAGCTGGGAAAGGCACAGCTGTCTGAGTTTGTTCAGGCATGGGAACAGAGCAGCTTTTCCTGAAGGACTGGTCATGGCAGCCAGAGGCCCCTGCCCTTCTTCTCTCCATCCCAGAAGGTAGTAGACAAGACAGCTCCACTGAGAGGCACAAATTGGGTTGCCTCAAGCACAGCATTTTTTAAAAATTTGAGATGGAGTCTTGGTCTGTGTCACCAGCCTGGAGTGCAGTGGCATGATCTCAGCTCACTGCAACCTCCGTCTCTCAAGTTCAAGTGATTCTCTTGCCTCAGCCTCCCAAGCAGCTGGGACTACAGGTGCCACCACGCCCAGCTAATTTTTTTTGTACTTTTAGTAGAGATGGGGTTTCACCATATTGGCCAGGATGGTCTTGATCTCCTGACTTAATGATTCGCCCACCTTGGCCTCTCAAAGTGCTGGAATTACAGGTGTGAGCCACTGTGGCCAACCAACACAGCTTTTAATTTAATTTAATTTAATTTAATTTAATTTAATTTTTTGAGACAAGGCCTTAACTCTGTCACTTAGGCAGAAGTGCAGTGGTGCCATCTTGGCTCACTGCAGCCTCCACCTCCTGAACTCCCATCTCAGCCTCCTGAGTAGCTGGAAGTACAGGCGTGTGCCACAACACTTGACTAATTTGTATTTTTAATATTTTATTTTTAGTAGAGACAGGGTTTCACTATGTAGGCCAGGCTGGTCTTGAACTACTGATCTCTTGATCTGCCCACCTCTGCCTCCCAAAGTGCTGGGATTACAGGTGTGAGCCACCACGCCCAGCCTGAGCACTTTCTTTCTTTCTTTCTTTTTTTGAGAAAGGGTCTGTCTCTGTTGCCCAGACTGGAGTGCACTGGTGCGATCTTGGCTTACTGCAGCCTTGACTTCCAGTGATCCTCCTCCCTCAGCCTCCCAAGTAGTTGAGACTACAGGCAGGCACCACCATGCCTGGTTAAATTGTGTATTTTTTTGTAGAGGCAGGGGTCTTGCTATGTTGCCCAGGCTGGTCCAGAATTTCGGAACTCAAGTGATCCGACGGCCTGGCCTCCCTAGGTGCTGGTATTAGAGACCATGCCTGGCCTTTGAGCACTTGTATATGTGTCCTGGGCTAAAGATGTATTTTACCCAGCCCTTATGTGAAAGATACTATCATTTCCTGCATTTAATAGATGGAGAAACTGAGGCTCAGGAAGGCAGGTTAAGTCCATGGATGGTTACTTAGCCAGTAAGTAGCTCGTTCAAGTCTAGATCTGTTGAAAGCCAAAGTCCATGTTTTTAAGATGGTCTTGTCTTTCCTTAGCTCCTGATGTTGGTGTTATGATTTTTATTCTTTTGTGTATACTTTCCTGAATTTTCCTAGTTCTCTCCTCTAGCCATGTATTTACCTATAAAATAAGGATAACTGTGTATATATATTTAAAGGAAAAAATATGTAACAACCACATAGAAACAAGGGGAGAAAGACATTGTATTGAACAAAGCATGTACGTGCAGGTCTGCGAAGGTTCATAAAGAATGTTGTTTGCTATATTTTGTAGTTGCTTCTGTTATCACACAATCGATCTGCATATACAGACATTTTATATATATTTATATAGACTACATATATACATATATTATACATGTAAATTTTTCACTGTCTTTGAGGGCAGGGCCCTGTCTTTTTTTTCTGTGGTTTTGCTTAGATGTCCTCCAACATAACCTTAACATATAGTTAGGCTTTTAGAAATTGTTGATTGAATGCTAACGACGAAAAATCAGTGACCAGAAGACAACCAGAAAAGGCTTTGCTGACCTTTTCTGAGGTTGGAGGTTCTGGGAAGGCGACTAGGGAGCCGGGTAAGGACGGGGTGGGATGGGATGTGGACAACTCTTGTGTGGGGGAAAGCGTTTCTGCGGCTGGAATTGAGCAGTAGGAATGTGTCAGCCGCAGCCCCACCCCTCCCAATTCTTGTCTTGGTTCAGGAAGGTGAACGGGGTCTTGATTCCCCGTGGCGGGGCCTGTAGTGGGCGCTCTGCCCCTTCCCCGCCTCTGCTGCAGGCCCCGCCCCTCGCCCAGAACCCCGGGGCGCTGGCCGCGGTGCTGAAACGGCGCCCTCCGCCGACGGAGGAGGGGGCGGGGCTCTCGGGAGCTGTGAGCCCGGAAGGGAGAGGGGCAGGGCGGCGCCAAGCAGGCCTGAGACCCTGGCGGGCTTGGGAGGAGGCAGGAGACTGGAGACAGCCTCGGCTGGAGCGGACACAGGCCCCTGGCAAACTTCCCTTGACCAAGCCAAGGCTGTCCTTGTCCTATTAAGTCTCTTCCCCTTGCCTTGGAGGGACCTCATCTGGTGCCCTGACCGCAGCCTCCTCCCGAAACCCCGCCCGGCGGTGACCTGCTTCTAGGCCTCCGTCCACAAAGCCACGGACTTGCAGCCCACGGGACCCCAGCCCAGGGCCTGCAGCCCTCACCATGGTGAAATTGCTGCCGGCCCAGGAGGCAGCCAAGATCTACCATACCAACTATGTGCGGAACGCGCGGGCCGTGGGCGTGATGTGGGGCACGCTCACCATCTGCTTCTCCGTGCTGGTCATGGCCCTCTTCATCCAGCCCTACTGGATCGGCGACAGCGTCAACACACCGCAAGCAGGCTACTTCGGCCTTTTCTCCTACTGCGTGGGTAACGTGCTGTCCTCCGAGCTCATCTGCAAGGGCGGTCCCCTAGACTTCTCCTCCATCCCCTCTAGAGCCTTCAAGACTGCTATGTTCTTTGTGGCCTTGGGCATGTTCCTCATCATTGGCTCCATCATCTGCTTCAGCCTGTTCTTCATCTGCAACACAGCTACGGTCTACAAGATCTGTGCATGGATGCAGCTGGCTGCTGGTAAGCGGGGATGATGGGAGGGCAGGCAGGGGCCCACCTCGGGGCCACAGCTGCAGCTGCACCTTCCCATCCTCTTCCAGGGCTCTGGGCCTTATATTCAGCTGTTCTCCCATAGCCCAGTCCTACTCAGTGCTCTACAGAAGATTCTGAGGAGTTGAGAATCTTAGAATGGCAGAGGCAGGAAAGACCTAAGAGATGAAACTGTCCAACCCTCTCATCTTACAGATGAGGTTCTGAGCCCAGAGAGGGAAAGTGACTTGCCCAGGAGCACACAGTTCCTTGTCCTGACTCCAAGTCCATCACATCAGTTTTTGCAGCTGTGAGAGAGAGAAAAAAGGAAGCTTCCATTGTTGGCCATATGGGAATAGGACCCAACCCCAGCACAAAGTAGTGACCCCATTCAAGCACATTCTAGATGCCTTCATCTCCCACCTCTGGGCTTTTGTTCTTTTTAAGAGTGCCCAGAACTGTCCTCATTCTCTCCCTCCCACCCCAAACTGCTCTCAGATTCTAAGGTCTCTTGTTGATTTTGGAGTGTTGCTATTAATGCAGGATATGAACTTGCCTATAAAAACTTTCATCTAAAGTCCCCTCTTTCATTGGGGAGTGAAAGTCTTTTTTCCTTGATTATGGGATTCTATACTTAAGGCAGCAAATGGAGTGATATTTTGTGAGGTGGAGGAAGCTATCTAGGGTCCTGGGTTTTGTTTTGTTTTTGTTATGTTTTGTTCTGTATTGTTTGTTTTGAGACAGAGTCTCACTCTTTGGCCCAGGCTGGAGTGCAGTGGCATGATCTCAGCTGACAGCAGCCTCGACCTCCTTGGGCTTAGGTGATCCTCTTACATCGGCCTCCCAAGTAGCTGGGACTCCAGGTGTGCACCACCATGTCTAGCTAATATTTTTGTGTTTTTGTAGAGATGGGGTTTTGTCATGTCGCTCAGGCAGGTCTCAAACTGCTGGGTTCAAGCGATTTGCCCATCTCAGTCTCCCAAAGTGTTGAGATTTCAGGAGCGATCCACAGCACCTGGCCTAGGGTCCTTTAAAACTATGTGGGGGCTGGGCACAGCAGCTCACACCTGTAATCCCAACACTTTGGGAGGGAGGATCACTTGAGCTCAGGAGTTTGAGACTAGACTGGGCAAGATGGCAAGACCCTCTCTCTGAAAATAATAATAATAATAAATAAGACAAAACTGTGTGGTAGGCAGCCACTTGTGCCCTAAGGCAAGACCTCCCCTTCCCTTTTTCCTGCTCATAGCCCAGAAAGGCTTCTTGGTCCTTGTGCCAGGTGGTCTTGCTGTTCTCTGTAGCCCGAGAAGAGGGGTAAGACCTTGTGCTGCATCCTCTGGTACCTTGGTCCCTGCCCACGTTAGGGCCCACACACAAACTCGCCATGCCGGTGAGATGTCCAGGAGTGGTGCCGGGGATTGGAAAGTAAAGTAAAACCATCTTGACATCATTGGTCAGAATGAGAAGTAGTGTTATCTTTAAGAGGGAGAATGAGACAGGCATCTAAATCCCAGACCACTAAACATGAAGAGTCAAGACTGCAGAGTTGGAGGGGACCCAAGAGATCTATATCCATCCCCCCACTATAGATGAGGAATCTGCTGCTGAGAGAAAGTATCAGACTTGGCCAAGGCTATAGCAGATCAGTGGGCAACTGAGGACCTGAAACAATTAAGGCAGCAGTTCTCAAGAAACTAGATGTATTCGGCCGGGCGCAGTGGCTCAAGCCTGTAATCCCAGCACTTTGGGAGGCCGAGGCGGGTGGATCCCAAGGTCAAGAGATCGAGACCATCCTGGTCAACATGGTGAAACCCTGTCTCTACTAAAAAAAAATACAAAAAATTAGCTGGGCATGGTGGCGCGTGCCTGTAATCCCAGCTACTCAGGAGGCTGAGGCAGGAGAATTGCCTGAACCCAGGGGGCGGAGGTTGCGGTGAGCCAAGATCGCGCCATTGCACTCCAGCCTGGGTAACAAGAGCGAAACTCCGTCTCAAAAAAAAAAAAAAAAAGAAACTAGATGTATTCCTAAGATGTTTTTATTGAGCCACATATTTACGTAAGTATAATGATTTATGACATACTTTTACATATATTATTTGGAAGGGTCTCAGCACAACCCATTGAGGTGGGTATTTCTCCATTTTACAGAGAAGGTTCCTAGTGGGTAACTTGTCTTTGAGCATGCAAGTCGGAAGGGATACACTTTTGATTCCAAATCTTGCACTCAGGCTACTCAGATGGTTTCAGAGCTCCCAGCAAATCTGCTTGCCACCTCTCTCTTCTCTGTAGTCTCTCTGTTTGATAAGGGAGAGGTGGGGGCAGGGGTGGGCAGTGGGGAGCAAGGTAAAGGGTGGCCATGTCAAGAATGATGGTGGAGGCAGGCACAGTGGCTCATGCCTGTAGTCCTAGCACTTTGGGAGGCCCAGGAGAGGGGATTGCTTGAGGCCAGATGCTCAAGACCAGCCTGGGCAATATAGTGAGACCCTATCTCTATTTAAAAAAATACACACACACACACACACACACACACACACACACACAGTCAATTAAAAATAATAAGGCCAGCTGCGGTGGTCCACATCTGTAATCCCAGCACTTTGGGAGGGTGAGGTGGGCAGATTGCTTGAGCTCAGGAGTTCGAGACCAGCCTGAGCAACATGGCAAAACCCTGTCTCTACAAAATTCAGCTGGATTAATATATATATATATATTGACACCATATATATATATATATATATATATAGACACTATATATATATATATAGACACTATATATATATATATATATATATGAACAAAGAGGAAATGAAGATTTAGCAGTTTTATGCCAAAGAGGAGTGAAATCTATAAAGAACTATATAAATAAGCTCCTCCTAAAACAATAGAAGGAAGCGTAATACATTGAGGCGGGGAGGTGGGACCCTGATCTTTCCATTTACTGTGCATTTGTTTGACAATGATACGCTTGCCAGCTGTTCTTCCTTATCAGGGTTATGGGCTGCTGGAGACACAACCATCTCTCTCATTCTCAGGGCTGTCTGCACACCCCTATTCCCCTGAAACATCCCCCAACAGGTGGCATGTGTGAGTAGACAGTGCCAGGACGGGGAGGGGTTGCCAGGCCATCTGAGTTAGACACTTTCTGGGTTGCAGAGCTGGAGACACTGATAGCAGAGGTGGCCAGGTGACATCTCATGCAACATTTACGTTGGGGAAAGGCAAGAATGGTGTTATGTTCCATTCTGTTGTGCTGTGGAAGGGGGAATGAGCCGAAGGGAGAGATGCAGAGTGGTCCCACATCCAGCAGCTGGGAGATACATCCATTTATTAGCTACCCTTGTCAAGAAGTCTGGGAGCAGGGAAGGGGCAGGGACAGAGGAGGAGGAGGACTGATGCTTGGGGCAATGTGGGACTGCAGATTAACAAGATTAATTGGGCTTCTGGGTGCCAGGAGTAGGCTGGGTGTGGTCCCAGCTCCTAGAAACACAGGTAGGCCAAACTGCTTGTCTTCTATGAGTCTTGGTAACCTCATGTCTTAGTCAGTTCTACTTAGTTCTATTTAGTCAGGGCTGCCATAACAAATTGCTATAGACTAGGGGGCTTAAACAACAGAAATTCATTTCTCACAGTTCTGGAGGCTAGAGGTCTGAGATCTGGGTGCCAGCATGGCATTATCACGAGAACTCTGGTGAAGGCCTCTTCTGGGCTGTAGACTACTCACTTCTTGATATCCTCATGTGGTGAAAAGAGGGTAACAGGGCTCCCTGGGGTGTCTTATATTTATTTATTTGCATTGATGATGATTATTATTGAGTGAGGGTCTCAAAAATTATTATTTTTACCCAGGCTGGAGTGCAATGGCATGAACATGGCTCACTGCAGCCTCGACCTCCCAGGCTCAAGTAATCCTCCCTCCTCGGCCTCCGAAGTAGCTGGGACTACAGGTGCATGCCACCATGCCCAAATTTTTGTATTTTTTGTAGAGATGGGGTTTCAGCATGTTGCTCAGGCTGGTCTGGAACTCCTGAGCCTGCCTCAGCCTCTCAAAGTGCTGGGATTACAGGTATGAGCCACTACACCCAGCCTTATTATTATTTTTAATCGACAGAATAATTATACATATTTATGGACTACAGTGTGATATTTTGATACATGTATACAAGCGGGACTTGAAATCCAGGTAGCCTGGTCTAGTTGTTTCTTAGATTTTCCTACTGAGAAAATTAAGGTAATTAGCATATCCATCACCTCAAACATTTATCATTTCTTTGAGTTGGGACGATTTCAAATTTGCTGTTCCGGCTATTTGGAAATATATGATAGATCGTTGTTGGTTACACTCACCCTACAGTGCTAGAGAACACTAGAGCTTATTTCTCCTGTCTAGCTGTACTTTTGTATCCACTGACCAGCCTTCAGCTGTCCCCGCTCCCCTCTGGGGTCCCTCCAATCCCATTCATGAGGGCCCCACCCTCATGATCTAACCACTCCCCAAAGGCCCCACCTCCTAACACCATCCCACTGGAGGTTAGGATTTGAACACAGGAGTCCTGGGGGGAACAAACAGTCCACTGTACCCCATCTGTAGAACATAGCGGCAGTGGCCGGGCACAGTGGTTCATGCCTGTAATCCCAGCACTTTGGGAGGCCGAGACGGGCGGATCACTTGAGGTCAGGAGTTTAAGACCAGCCTGGCCAACATGGTGAAAACCTGGCTTTACTAAAATACAGAAATTAGCCTGGTGAAGTGGTGCATGCCTGTAATCCCAGCTACTTGGGAGGCTGCGGCAGGAGAATTGCTTGAATCCAGAAGGCAGAGGTTGCAGTGAGCCAAGATCATGCCAAAGTTCTCTAGCCTGGGTGACAGAGCCAGACTCTGACACTCTGACACACACACACACACACACACACACACACACTCACAGAACATAGCAGCAGTACCTGCTTCAGTGGGGTTCTATGAAGATGGGATAATAGAATGCATGTAAAACACCTTGCACATGGTAGGTGCTCAGTACCTGTGAAAAACATAAAAAACAACTTTATCAGTCAGCATGGGAAGTGATGCCACAGTAACAAACCACTCCCACATCTTGGTGGCTCAGAACAAAGATTTATGTATTTCTTGCTTATGATCTGCTCTCGCTGCTCTCTCCTGGGACCCTCGCTAGGAGCATCAGTCACCATCACTGTCCTTGCATCAGAGGGAAGGGAGTTCTGGGAGGTCTCCCACTGCAGCTAAGTGATGTGGCCCACACATCTCTGCTCACATGTCATTGGCTAGAGGAAGGCAGATGGCCTCACTTAACCTCAAAAGAGTGGGGCAAGGAAGCACAATCTTGCCTTGCACCTGGAATATTCGCGAGCAGCTCTAATGACATCCATGTCACTGAGGCGGCTTCTGTCTGACTCTAATGTCAATAACAATAGCAGTGACCATGTACCATGTACAAGACACTGTAGGAAGTGTTTTCTGTAAATGATCACACTTAATCCTTAACAGTGCTATCAGTCAGGTACTTTGCAGATGACAGGATGGAAGTCACAGAGGGTAAGTAACCCAGCCTAAGAACACTGTGCTGGCTTCTACTTAGAGCCTTGAGACACCACAACTGGGGTGGACACCCACTGTTCCCATAACCAGGTGGGGTGCTCACAGGGGACTGTGGCACTCACACCCTCTTTCCAAGTCAGAGCCCCTGGGCTCTTTTCTGAAGCCCTCACAGGAAGACGGTGCAGGAGGGGAGGGGCCAAGGGAGGAAGTGATGGAGAGAATGCAAAACCTGGAAGGGCAGGTCCTTCCCACCGTCACCTCTGCCCTTTAAGCCAGGGGCCCTGCCAGGCACTGGAGGGCTGGACTCACCAAGTGGGGAAGGCCCGGCTACATAGGTATTGCCGCGGAGCTGTGGATGGCTCCCCCTCCTCCACCCTGGGTATCTTCCTGAACACTTAGTTTATCACTGAACACTTAGGAGGTCTGAAATGTCACCACTAATTACATTCAGTCCCTTGGAGAGATGTCATGTTCTGGGGGTGGAGGGAATAAACTTTGAAGTCAGGAATGGAGAATTCAGGCGTTGGCTCTGGCATTGCTGGGTGACTGGATGGCTGGCAAGTCACTTGGTTTCTCTGAGTCCTCAGTTTTCTAATCTGTAAAATGTGGATATTAATAAGCAGCTCACTTCACAGAACTGTGGTCACAGTCAAGATGGTACATGAAGTATTTTGTGATCTATAAAGAACTATAAAAAAAAGAACTATATAAATCAACTTCTTCTAAAACAATCAAAGGAAACGTAAAACATTTAGGTAGGAGGTGGGACCCTGATCTGTCCATTTACTGTGCATTTGTTTGACCTCCTGACCTCTGCAGAACCAGTTGGGTCCAGGGAAGGTAACTTTTTGTCCAAAGGGGTGCTTCTCTGAGGGGCTCCTGAGTGGGGTACTAGAGAGCCTCCAGACCTGCGGGAAAGCGGCACAACCAAGGGGAGCACCCCCTGCCCGAGGGGCAGCTGTGCCTGGGGCTGCCCCAGTTGCATTCTGGATTATGTCACCTGTCTGTGCTTCACCCCAGTAAAGCTAAGATGGGGGATAGTTTGATGGAAGGGGATGGAAGAATTGGGGGGAAAGTGGGGACAACAGAATTTTTAGCTAAATACTAAGTGAAGGTAGGCATAGGGTGGGATCATAACTCTCACAGCCAACTCTCATGGAGTGCCAAGTCTGTGTTAGGCACTGTTCTAAGCTCTTTTCCAGTATTAACTCATTTGAACCTCACTGTAACCTCAACAGGAAGATTGGGGTTATTATTATCTCCATTTTATAGATGAGGAAACTGAGACAAAGAAAGCTTAAGTATGGCTGGGTATGCCTGTAACTGCAGTACTTTGGGAGGCTGAGGGGGCGAATCATGAGGTCAGGAGATAGAGACCATCCTGGCTAACATGGTGAAACCATGTCTCTACTAAAATTACCTGGGTATGGTGGTACATGCCTATAGTCCCAGCTACTCCAAAGGCTGAGGCAGGAGAATTGCTTGAACCCAGGAGGTTGCAGTGAGCCAAGATCCCGCCATTTTACTCCAGCCTGGGTGACCAAGCGAGACACTGTCACACCAAAAAAAAAAAAAAAAAAGAGAGAGAGAAAGCTTAAGCCGCTTGCTCTGAGTCACATAGCTAGGTAGCAGCAAGCTGGGCTTGAAATCCAGGCAGCCTAGTCTAATGTTTCCCCACCTGGAAGAGTGCTTTTGAAGACAGGGGTTATTGAACCCAACCATGACCTAGGAACCAGCATTTTACCTTATGTTTCTGTGCACAGGTTATATGCAAAGGAGCCAGCATAAAAGATTCAGCATGTGCAACTGCACATGCTGTACTGGGTAAGGGTGAGGAGGAAACCTGTTTGCTCCAGTGGAAGGCTTTTGAAGGAAGCAGCCAGGGAGGCTGGAAAGCCTTCCTGTATTCATCAAATCTAAGATACCTGAGTTGTAGGACACATCGTTATTCTATGTACTATAAAAACAAAAACAACTGGAATTCAGTTTGTGACAAAATATTAAAAAAAAAAAAAAAAACAAAAACAAAAAATACTGATAATTCGACCATGGCCTGACACTTTCTTATTACACGTATTTCAGAGATGCTGTAAGTATGAAAAAGAAATGTGCATCTCAGCACTGATGAGTTCTTTAGGCTGGGATCAGATACTGGAGGGCTTTGAAGCCAGGGTAGGTGGTGCCTTGTTGAGCCCAAGGTGAGGAGAATGGCTGAGGGCCTGGCAGGGCCACCTGCTGTGGTGGCAGAGCCTGCCTGGGCTGAGGAGCTCAGCTGGGTCTCAGGGGCCAGTTGCTTTAGCCCTCAGAGCCTCCGTTTTCTCACCTGTGTTTTGCAAGAAGTGTGGTAGAGGCTGCCTCTCCTGCCTCCTGAGGCTGTTAACAGGAGAAGGGAGGTGACAACATAACAGCCGGGCAAGGTGGGAGGTAGTGAGCTGGGCACAACTGGTCTGATGCCATCTGCACCCCTCCTCCCCCCTCAGCCACAGGCCTAATGATTGGCTGCCTGGTCTACCCTGACGGCTGGGACTCAAGTGAGGTGCGGCGCATGTGTGGGGAGCAGACGGGCAAGTACACGCTGGGCCACTGCACCATCCGCTGGGCCTTCATGCTGGCCATCCTCAGCATTGGCGACGCCCTCATCCTCTCCTTCCTGGCCTTCGTGTTGGGCTACCGGCAGGACAAGCTCCTCCCTGACGACTACAAGGCAGATGGAACCGGTAATCCGCCCACCAACTCCATAACAGTGTCCCCTGCCTGGAGAACCTGGGGTGTGTGTGTGGTTCATCTTAGCCAGTCTTCTGGGGCTTGGCCCCTGGCCAAGGGATGGGGACACCAAGACTAATCGGACACAGCCCTTGTCCTCCCTGAAGCCAAAGGCCAGTGGAGGGGTGCAAGCTAGCAGGCAACAAGGCAATCTGTGATAGAGTAGTATCCCCCTCACCCCTCTACACTCCCAGAGGCTGTAGGGGAGAGACCCAATCCAGCCTTGGGGGCTAAGTGTGGTCCCCCCTAGAGGGAGGCACTGAGTCTGGGTCTCGAACTAATAATCCTGGGAGTTTGTTCTGTGGAGAGGGAAACAACAGGGGGATGAGTTGCTGGGGAAGGAGGAGAAAGGCAGAGACCTTGAGGACAACCCAATGAGGGTGAAGAAGTGACAGCTCCTGGAGTGCAGTTGGCGGGAGCCCGAGATCCCTGGAGGAACGGCAGCCTTGGGGTTCTTGTAATGTCTGTCCTGTTTCAGTTCCCTCCCATCCAAATCCTACCTGTCAGTAATAAAAGTCAGCTGTGGCTGAGTCACTCCAGGCCCAAGTGGACCCTCCAGGAAGCCCTCCCTGAGTGCTTCCCATTCCCTCCTTCCTAGGGTGCTTTCCACTCCTGTTTCTCATTGGGCTCTTCCCCTGCCAGTCTTTTTCAGAGCACAGACTTACTCACCAAGTCAGAGGGCAAGGCCTGTCTTGCACCCCTGCGAATCCCCAAATGCCTGGTCTCAGCAGGTGGCCATCACTGGGACCGGTTACACCTCAGGGACCTCTCCAGTCTCTTTTCCCCATAGCTGTTTTCACATTGGCCCTTGTACTAGAAGAAGCAGCCAAACTCTTCTGTCCACTATAACCAAGGACTCTTCCCACATGAGGAACTTGAAGCCCAGAAAGGAGAGTCACTCAGAAGTTCCCAGAATGGGCCAGGCACATTGTCTCACGCCTGTAATCCCAGCACTTTGGGAGGCCGAGGCGGGTCACGAGGTCAAGAGATCGAGACCATCCTGGCCAAATGGTCAAACACCGTCTCTACTAAAAACACAAAAATTCGCTGGGCATTTGGCACGCGCCTGTAGTCCCAGCTACTTGGGAGTCTGAGGCGGAAGAATCACTTGAACCTGGGAGGCGGAGGTTGCCGTGAGCTGAGACCACGCCACTGTGCTTCAACCTGGCAACAGAACAAGATTCTGTTAAAAAAAAAAAAAAAAAAAGAAGTTCCCGGAATGGCAAGAGCCCAGAACTCAGGTCCTCTCTGGCCAAGCCCAGGGCCCACTTCTTCATAAGGAAGTGATGGAAAACACTTCATCTTCCTTTGGGGATGGGAGAAGGATAATCACCTGTTATGTGGTTAAAGATGAAAACAAATTACTAGAAAGAGCTGGGCCAAGGAGGAGAGAAGAGGGAGATTTCTTCCCATCACAGTAGGATAGAGGGAAACGCCTGGGGCTTGGATCCCTTGAGGATTCTGTGAAGGGAAGAAAAAAATGAATGAGTAGGGCAGGGTGCAGAGGCTTATGCCTGTAATCTCGGCCTCAGGCCGAGGCAGGCAGATAACTTGAGGTCAGGAGTTTGAGACCAGCCTGGCCAACATGGTGCATCCCCATCTCTACCAAAAATACAAAAATTTGCTCGGGGTGGTGACACCTGTAATCCCAGCTACTCAGAAGACTGAGGCAGAATTGCTTTAACCCAAGAAGCGGAGGTTGCAGTGAGCTGAGATGGTGCCACTGCACTCCAGCTTGAATGACAGAATGAGACCCTGTCTCAAAAAAAAAAAAAAAAATTGGACCTAGTGTTTACTGAGCCACTTCCATGTGTAAGAGTGATATAAGGGTCACTTTTATTTAATCCTCACAGCAACTCTGAGGAGATGCAGGAGCGAGTGATTTTGGCAGCAGCCTGTATAACCAGGGCTTCTCCAGTGAGGGAGGCTTTTCCAAGGAGCACCAGCAGGAGCTGCTGGAGGCATTTTGTCTAGCTCTTGGCCTCAAGGCAGAGCCACCCTGAAATCTGTTCGGCCACATGGACAGAGTTTGTTTGTTTGTTTGGAGGGAGGGAGGGAGTCTTGCTCTGTCACCCATGTTGGGGTGCAGTGGTGCCATCTTGGCTCACTGCAATCTCCACCTCCTGGGTTCCAGCAATTCTCCTGCCTCAAGCTCCCTAGTAGCTGATTACAGGTGTTTGCCACCACGCCTGGCTAGTTTTTGTATTTTAGTAGCCACGGGGTTTCACCATGTTGGTCAGGCTCTTCTCTAACTCCTGACCTCAAATGATCCTCCTGCCTCAGCCTCCCAAAGTGCTGGGATTACAGGCATGAGCTACCACGCCTGGCTGGACAGAGTATTTTTATATTACCCATTTGGATTCTTTTTCAGAAGAGACTCTTTTTGTCAAAAAGTAATTCACATAAATCCTCTTTACAGTGTTTTCTTATAAAGAGATGATTTTGTTCCTCTGACATTTTCTTTTTTTTTTGAATCGGAGTTTCGCTCTTCTTACCCAGGCTGGAGTGCAATGGCGCGATCTCGGCTCACCGCAACCTCCGCCTCCTGGGTTCAGGCAATTCTCCCGCCTCAGCTTCCCAAGTAGCTGGGATTACAGGCGCACACCACCATGCCCAGCTAATTTTTTGTATTTTTAGTAGAGATGGGGTTTCACCATGTTGACCAGGATGGTCTTGACCTCGTGATCCACCCACCTCGGCCTCCCAAAGTGCTGGGATTACAGGCTTGACCCACTGCGCCCGGCCGACATTTTCTTTATTAATCAAACTGTCCATTCACTTTCGTCTCCTTCCTTGTTCCACTCCTTTTATATCCCATGTCCCTTGTCCTCAGTCTTTTCAGATTTTTTTCTCCATGCTTTAATTCCCTTACTATCATACAGAGTTTGTTTGTTTGTTTTCTTTTTGTTTATTACCTTTGAGGAAACACCTATACAACCTTTCTGAATACATCTAGTTATTCAATGAAGTTCCCCATGTCTTCTGTAAAAGTACGGAATTGGGCCGGGTGCGGTGACTCACGCCTGTAATCCCAGCACTTTGGGAAGCTGAGGCGGGTGGATCACGAGGTCAAGAGATCAAGACCAGCCTGGCCCACATGGTGAAACCCTGTCTCCACTAAAAATACCAAAATTAACTGGGCGTGGCGACACGTGCCTGTACTTAGGAGGTTGAGGCAGGAGAATTGCTTGAACCCGGGAGGCGGAGGTTGCAGTGAGCCGAGATCCCGCCACTGAACTCCAGCCTGGCACCTGGCGACAGAGCAAGACTCTGTCACAAAAAAGAAAAATAGTACGGAATTGGGGTCAGAAGAGTCAAGTTTGAGTCCCAGTTCCTCCAAGTCACTTTACCTCAGTGTTCTTTCCCGTTAAAAAGGAGAACACTAATCCTGTGCTGCTACTTCCATTCTTGTGAGGCATGAACAAAACAATGAAAGCAGAAATGAAGGTCTGCACAAGGACGTCGTTGCTGATCCACTCCCCAGGGGTTAAGGAGGCAGAGGAGAATGAATGTGGGCTCTGGAACCAGAACTGGATTTAAGTTTTGGCTCCATTTTTTTTTTTTTTTTTTTTTTTTTTTTTTTTTTTTTTGGGCTCCATTTTTAACTAGCTGTGTGACATTGCAGAGACAACTTAACCTCTAAGCCTCAATTTCCTCATCTGAGCCTCATTTTCATGGGGGCAGGAGGCAGGTTTTTCTTCATTCAAAGAAAAATACCAGCTGGGTGTGGTGGCTCCCGCCTGTAATCCCACATGATTTTTGGGAGGCTGGGGTGGGCAGATCACAAGGTCAGAAGTTCAAGACCAGCCTGGCCAATATGGGGAAACCTTGTTTCAACTAAAAATATAAAAATTAGCTGGATGTGGTGGTGGGCACCTGTAGTCTCAGCTACTTGGGAGGCTGAGGCAGGAGAATCACTTGAACCCAGGAGGCGGAGGTTGCAGTGAGCCAATATTGTACCACTGCACTCTAGCCTGGGTGACAGAATGAGATTCTGTCTCAAAGAAGAAGAAGAAGAAGAAAAATATCTACTTCAAAAGATTGTGTTCAGGAACAAGAAAAGGATGTCTGCTCTCGTCACTTCCATTAGCATTGTGCTAAAGGTTATAGCCAGGGCAATTAGGCTAGAAGAAGAAATTCTAAAGTTAGGAGGAAAAAGTAAAACTATCTTTATTAATAGACGATATGATCTTGTATATGGAAAATCCAAATAATCCACTAAAACACTATTAAAGCTAAACACAACTTTAGTAAGGTGGAAAGATACAAGAATATATAAAAATTTACTGTATTTGTATACACTAGTAATGAACTATCCAAAAATGAAACTAAGAAAACAGTTTTATTTAAAACAGCATCAAAAAGAATAAAATATTTAGAAATGAACTTAACCAAAAAAGTGTAAGACTTGTAAATGAAATTACAAAACATTGTTGAAAGATTAAATACTTTAAATGGAAAGATATTTCACATTTCTGAATGAGAAGACTTAATATTGTTAAGATGCCAATACTCTCAAAACTGATTTACAGATTCAGTGCAATCTTTATCAAAGTCCCAGCTGGACTTTTGTGGAAATTGATGAACTGATCTTAAAATTTATATAGAAATGCAAGAGACCCAGAATATTGAAAACAATCTGAAGAATAAGAAAGTTGGAAGAGTCACGTGTCCTAATTTCAAACTCACTTCACAGCTACAGTTATCCAAATGATGTGTGACTGGCTTAAGGACAGACATGTAGCTCAGTGGAACTGAATTGAGAGTCTAAAAATAAATCCAAACATTTATGGCCAATAGATTTTTCAACAAGGATGCCAAGACTATTTAATGGGGGAAAGAACAGTCTTTCCAACAAATGGTGCTGGAACAATCAGATGTCTATATGTGAAAGAACGAAATTGGACCTCTACCTCACACCATATACAAAAATTAACTCAAATACCTAAATGCAAGATATAAAACTATAAAAATCTTCTCTTTTTTTGAGAGCGAGTTTCGCTCTTGTTGCCCAGGCTGGACTGCAATGACTCGATCTTGGCTCACTGCAACCTCCACCTCCCAGATTCAAGCAATTCTGCCTCAGCCTCCTGAAGAGCTGGGATTACAGGCGCCTACCACCATGCCCAGCTAATTTTTGTATTTTTAGTAGAGACAGTGTTTCACTCTGTTGGTCAGGCTGGTCTTGAACTCCTGACCTCGTGATCTGCCCACCTTGGCCTCCCAAAGTGCTGGGATTACAGACGTGAGCCGTTGCACCTAGCCCTAAAAATCTTAAAAGAAAACTATAAATTTTTGTGAACTTGGATTAGGCAGTAGTTTCTTAGATATGACACCTAATGCACAAGCAAAGAAAAAAACAGATAAGGCCGGGTGTGGTGGCTCACGCCTGTAATCCAAGCACTTTGGAGGCCAAGGCAGGCGGATCACCTGAGGTCAGGAGTTCAAGACCAGCCTGACCAACATGATGAAACCCCATCTTAAAAAAAAAGCAAGAAAGAAAAGAAATAGATAAATTGGCTTTCATCAAAATTTAAATTTTTTGTGTTTCAAGACACCATAAAGAAAGTAAAAGGACAACCCACAAAATGGGAGAAAATATTTGTAAATTATAATTGGATAAGATCTAGAATCCAGAATATATTAAGAACTCCTACAACTCAACAATAAAAAGACAGACTACCCAATGCTTAAAATGGGTAAGGGATTTGGATAGACATTTCTCCAAAGATGCTATACAAATGGCCAAAGAGCACACCAAAAGATGCTCAACATCATTAGTCATTAGAAAAATGCCAGTGAAATCCACATTGAGATACAATGTCACACCCACTAAGATGATTATAATAAAAAAGGTGAATAAAAACAAGTGTTGGTGAACAAGTAGAGAAATTGGAACCCTCCTTCACTGCTACTGTAAATGTGAAATGTTGCAACTGCTGCAGAAAGCAGCCTGGCAGTTCCTCAACTGGTTAATCATAGTTACCATATGACCCAGTATTTCCACTCTTGGGTGGAAGAAAACTGAAAACAGGTTGGGTGTGGTGGCCTATAGATTTATGGCCTGTAATCCCAGCACTTTGGGAGGTCCAGGCGGGTGGATCATGAGATCAGGAGTTCAAGATCAGCCTGGCCAAGATGGTGAAACTCAGTCTCTACTTAAAATACAAAAATTGGGCTGGGCGCAGTAGTTCACACCTGTAATCCCAGCACTTTGGGAGGCTGAGACAAGCAGATCACCTGAGGTCAGGAGTTCAAGACCAGACTGAACAATATGGAGAAACCCCATCTCTACTAAAAATACAAAATTAGCCGGGCATGGTGGCACATGCCTGTAATCCCAGCTACTCGGGAGGGTAAGGCAGGAGACTCACTTGAACCCAGAAGGTGGAGGTTGCAGTGAGCCGAGATTCTGCCACTGCACTCCGGCCTGGGCAACAAGAGGGAAACTCTTGTCTCAAAAAAAAAGAAAAATTCGCTGGGTGTGGTGGCAGGTGCCTGTAATCCCAGTTACTCAGGAGGCTGAGGCAGGAGAATTGCTTGAACCTGGAAGGCAGAGGTTGCAGTGAACTGAGATCATGCCACTGCACTCCAGCCTGGGCAACAGAGCGAGACTCCATCTCAAAAAAAAAAAAAAAAAAAGAGAGAGAGAGAAACGTTCACACAAAAACTTATACACAAATGTTCATAGTAGCATAATAGCCAAAAAGTGTAAACAACCCATATGTGCATCACCTGATGAACAGATAAAATGTGTATATCCATGCAATGAAATATTATCAAGCCATAAAAAGGAATGAAATAGTAAGAATTGCTATCATGTGGATGAACCTTGAAAACATGTAAGAAACCAGACACAAAAAACTGGCTTCCATTTATATATGTGTGGTTCAATTTATATAAAATATTCAGAATAAGCAAATCCATATAAACAGCAGATTAGGAGGGGGCTAGGAAGGAGGGGAAATGAGAGTGACTGATAATGGGCACAGGGTTTCTTTTCAGGGTGATTAAAATGTTTTAGAATTAGTAATGATATGTGGTGGCTCACGCCTGTAATCCAAGCACTTTGGAGGCCAAGGCGGGCGGATCACCTGAGGTCGGGAGTTCAAGAACAGCCTGACCAACATGGTGAAACCCCATCTTAAAAAAAAAAAAAAAGAATTATAGTTACACAATCTAGTGAATATACTAAAAACCACTGAGTTGTATACCTTAAATGGGTTAATTTTTTTTTTTTTTTTTTTGAGACAGAGTCTTGCTTTGTCGCCCAGGCTAGAATGCAGTGGCATGATCTCAGCTTGCTGCAACCTCCGCCTCCCAGGTTCAAGCAACTCTCCTGCCTCAGCCTCCCAAGTAGCTTGGATTACAGGCACCCACCTCCCCACCTCACTAATTTTTGTATTTTTAATAGAGATGGGATTTCAACATGTTGGCCAGGATGGTCTTGATCTCCTGATCTCATGATCCACCCACCTTGGCCTTCCAAAGGGCTGGGATTACAGGTGTGAACCAGGGCGCCTGGCCAAAATGGGTAAATTTTATGTTAGTGAAATATATATATATTTTTGAGACAGAGTCTGGCTCTTGCCAGGGCTGGAGTGCAGTGGCACAATCTCAGCTCACTGAAAGCTTCACCTCTTGCTGGGCTCAAGTGTTTCTCCCACCTTAGCCTCCCAAGTAGCTAGGACTATAGGCCCACACCACCACGCTTGGCTTAAAAAAATTTTTTTTTTGGTAGAGATGGGGTTTTACTATGTTGCCCAGGCTGTTCTTTAAATTCTGGTGCCCACCTCAGCCTCTCAAAGTGTTGGGATTACAGGTGTGAGCCACTGCACCCCGCTTGTTAGTGGATTAATGAAAAAAAAAAAAAGGCCAGGCGTGATGGCGCGTGCCTGTAGTCCCAGCTACTTGGGAGGCTGAGGTGGGAGGATCGCTTGAGCCTGGTAGTTCTGGGCTGTAGTGCGCTATGCTGATCTGGTGTCTGCATTAAGTTCAGCATCAATATGGTGACCTCTCAGGAGTGGGGGACCACCAGGTTGCCTAAGGAGGTGTGAACTGGCCCAGGTTGAAAACGGAGCAGGTCAGAACTCCTATGCTAATCAGTAGTGGGATTGTGCCTGTGAATAGCCACTACACTCCAGCCTGGGCAACATAGTGAGACACCGTCCCTTAAAAAAAAAAAAAAAAAAAAAGAGGATTGTGCTGAGGATTCTATACCATGTATAATAAACTAACAATGCCTGCACATGCAAGTGATTAATAAATTAATTCTTCCCCCCATTTTTTCTTTTTGCTGCCACAGTAGCAGTTCTGATAGTTCTTTCTCCTTTCTTTCCAGTATATTCACCTTTTTTTTTCTTTGAAACAGTCTTGCTTTGTCATCACCCAGGCTGGAGTCCAGTGGTGTGATCTTGGCTCACTGCAACTTCTGTCTCCAGGTTCAAGTGATTCTCCTGCTCAGCCTCCTGAGCAGCTGGGATTACAGGCATGTGCCACTACGCCTGGCTAATTTTTTGTATTTTTGGTAGAGACGGGCTGTTGCCCAGGCTGATCTCAAACTCCTGGCCTCAAGGGATCCACCCTCCTCAGCCTCCCAAAATGCCAGAATTACAGACTTTTTATTTATTTTTTTTGAGATGGTGTCTCACTCTTTTGCTCAGGCTGGAATGCAGTGGTGGGATCTCGGCTCACTGCAACCTCTGCTGCCCGGGTTCAAGCAATTCTCCTGCCTCAGCCTCCCGAGTAGCTGGGATTACAGGCGCCTGCCAACGTGTCTGGCTAATTTGTATATTTTTAGTAGAGATGGGGTTTCACCATCTTGGCCAGGCTGGTCTTGAACTTCTGACCTCATGATCCACCTACCTTGGCCTCCCAAAATGCTGGGATTACAGGTGTAAACCACTGCGCCAAGTGCTGAAATTAAAGACATGAATCACTGCATTGAATCATATTCATTTTTCATATCACGCATCTGCCTAACCCACAGCAGCTACTGTGCTCCAGTTGCCGAACAACGCCTTTAGGCACTGGAAGTACAGTGGTAAGTGAAGTCTAAATTGGAGCTTATGGTCTGGTAAGGGAGACAATCATGCAGTATGGAGTTACAAGCTGATAAGTTATGTGAACAAAAAGGTACAAGCTTTCTTGAGAGAGTAAGAGGAATCTGATGTAGTCTGGAGATAGAGTAGTGTGCAGGAAATTATCCTAAAACCGAGGCTTGGTAGTAACATATACTGTTCTCTCCTTCATTACAGAGGAGGTGTGAAGCAGAAGGAGCTGAAGGGTCGGTGAGTAATTCTATGGGTGAGTGGTCTGCGTCCCCTCAGAAGGGCTGGGGCTCTCTGCTTCCCTACTGAATCCCCAGGCAGTGGGACACCAGGGGTTGTGCTGTATGGCTGTGATTCTGCTTGGGGAGAGAGGAACAACAACCCACTGGGGCAGGAGCTACTTGACCTCTGAGACTCACTGGGAAAACAGGAAGCCTTTAATTTTACTTGTGCCTTTTTTTTTTTTTTTTTTTGAGATGGAGTTTCGCTCTTGTCGTCCAAGCTGGAGTGCAATGGCGCAATCTTGGCTCACTGCAACCTCCGCCACCTGGGTTCTCCCAAGCAATTCTCCTGCCTCAGCCTCCCAAGTAGCTGGGATTACAGGTGCCTGCCACCACACCCAGCTAATTTTTTTGTATTTTTAGTAGAAACGGGGTTTCACCATGTTAGCCAGGCTGGTTGAACTCCTGACCTCAGATGATCTGCCTGCCTTGGCCTCCCAAAGTGCTGGGATTATAGGCGTGAGCCATTGTGACCAGCCTTACTTGTGTCTTGAGAGGCAGAAAAGATCAGGGAAAGAAGAAATAATTTAAAACTGGCAGGAGGTTAGTTTCACAAATTCTTCTTTTGTGGAACCTGGCACACAAGAGCAGACTCTTTTTAGAAGTCATTATTGTAATTTGGACCCTTATTTTCAGAAAGAATTTTTAAGTGATTTGTAAGAAACATACTAGAAAACCTAAAAAAATAGAAAATAAAAGTCATAGAATAACAAATATTCAAAAAAGCTAGGCTAATGGTATTACTATCTTGAGTATTAAATTTAGCTCTATGCTCCCGGTTAGCCGAGGCAAAAAGAAAAACAGTCAAGTTAACCACTTTTTTTTTTAATCTTTTCTTTTTTTATTTTTAAGATGGGGTTTCGCCATGTTGGTCAGGCTGGTCTTGAACTCCTGACCTCAGGTGATCCGCCCGCCTTGGCCTCCAAAGTGCTTGGATTACAGGCATGAGCCACCACGCCTGGCCGTTAACCACTTTTAATGTCTGGTTAAAAAAGAAGCACAACAGATTAATTTATCTTTTTTAAGTGTCCAAACATTTGTTAAATGTGATTTAACAAGAACATTCAGGAATGTATTAAAAAAAGAAAAAGAAACCCCACAACAGTGCTGCCTCCCTAACAGCTGCCTTGAGGACCTAGAGCTGACCAGGCACGTTGTTTGGGGAGGAGGGTTTATCTCCATTTAAGCTGTTTTTATTTTTGCAAAGTACCTTCCACTCCTTGACCACATATACTTTTAAAATAATCATAAATAAAATTGTGACCTCCACCTCCCACACTTTAATTAGAGCATGATTCTCAAACTTCAGTGTGTAGACAGTCATCTGGGGATCTTGTTAAAATGCAGATTCTGCTGGGTCTAGTGGCTCATGCCTGTAATCCCAGCACCTTGGGAGACTGAGGCAGGCAGATCTCCTGAGGTCAGGAGTTGGAGACCAGCCTGGCCAACATTGGGAAACCCTGTCTCTACCAAAAATACACAAATTATCTGGGTGTGGTGATGTGATATCGCTGGCCTAGAGTTAGAAACTGTACAATGCCATTTTATAAAATGACAAAAACTGTTTCCATTCTCCTCACAATGATTGCTAACCTTGCCTTCTGTAAACTGCTAGTTTACTTTGCAGAATGCAGAGGTAAAGCTGCATACCTTCTCTTATCCGTAACTGCCAGAATTGCTGGCCTTTGTTTACTGGTAATAACCAGAATAAGCACCCCCAGATAATTCCATCCGGGCGCCAAGCAACTAAAAAATCTGTGGACCCGGGCTGGGCGCGGTGGCTCACGCCTGTAATCCCAGCACTTTGGGAGGCCGAGGCGGGTGGATCACAAGGTCAAGAGATCGAGACCATCCTGGTCAACATGCCGAAACCCTGTCTCTACTGAAAATACAAAAAATTAGCTGGGCATGGTGGCGCATGCCTGTAATCCCAGCTACTCGGGAGGCTGAGGCAGGAGAATTGCCTGAACCCAGGAGGCGGAGGTTGCGGTGAGCCGAGATCGCGCCATTGCACTCTAGCCTGGGTAACAAGAGCGAAATTCCGTCTCAAAAAAAAAAAAAAAAAAAAAAAGATCTGTGGACCCCACACCTGCCCAGATAATGTATCAACTAATGTTTATCTTGACTTCTGTAAACCACTTAAGTAACAATCAGAATGACAAAAGTCCCCTGGCCCTTGGAATGTCCGGAGCCCCCTCACCCTCCTCTCTGCCCAGGAGGTAATTTACAGCCCCGGAAATGTCTGAAGACTTTCATCCCCATCCCCACTGCTCAACCCCACTCCCAAGGTGGTTTTGCGGGTATAAAAAGGTCTTGTCACACTTCTTTCTCTGCCACGGGTTGGAAAGACGTGAGTCCTCCGTGGTCGCGGGCAATAAACCCTGCAGTTTGGCATACTTTTGTCTTGGTGTTGACTTTCTATGCTCGGTCCGATATAACAGTGATGCTCACCTGTAATCTCAGCTACTCAGGAGGCTGAGGCAGGAGAATCGCTTGAACCCAGGAGGTGGAGCTTGCAGTGAGCCGAGAGCACATCACTGCACTCCAGCCTGGGCAACAGGAGTGAAACTCCATTGTTGAAAAATATTGAGTGTTATGATTGCTCAGAAATGCTGAATGTATGATAAAATACATTGTTTCCTAGGAAGAATGATGACAAGGAAAACCTAGCCGCCCCCCTGCCCACAAAAAAGTAGAAAACTACTTGGGGCATTCTAAAGTGGCAGGACAACATATAAATATCATACAATAGCTACAACAATTCTTTAAGCATGGGACATCTAACTCTGCCCCCGTGGCTGCTTCATGGAGAATACTTTCTAGTTTGTCAGTGATCAGTGGTAAGCAGGCACCAGCTGCCTGCTTGGTATATTTTTGTGTTTTGAGAAAATGCTGAATATCTGTTTGTTAATAATAATCACCTGTTCAGAGAGAATAAATATGTGGGTCAGAGGCTGCTCAAGGCCCTCAGCCTGGAATGCTGTTAGCCCCTGAGGCTCTCAGCTTGGAAGGCTGTCGGCCCCCCAATAGACCCACTTTGCTCTTCTGTCTGGGTGTCTGCTTCTCAATTCCTTCAGCGTCACCTGGGTGGATATCTCTGCAGCAGAGCTGGTTCTCAGTACTCTGTCTCAAAAAAAAAAAAAAGCAGATTCTGATTTAGTTGGTTGGGTGGGTCTGGGCCGAAGACCCTGCATTTCTAACCAGGACTCCTAGGTGATGGCCTGCTCAAACAGGAATCACACTTTGAATAGAAAAGCATTAGAGCATAACCTTTTTAAAAATGTTTTTGTAATGTTTATTATTGAAGTTTTTCAAAGCCAGAAACTCCACAGCACTGGTATACCACAACTTTTCTTTTTTTTTTTTGAGACGGGGGGGTCTTCCTCTGTCTCCCAGGCTGAAGTGCAGTGGCGTAATCATGGCTCATTCAAGCCTCAGCCTCCTGGTGCTCAAGCCATCCTTCCATATTAGCTTCCTGAATAGCTGGGACTACAGGTACATACCTCCTACCCAACTATAATAATTTTCTTCTGTTTTGTTTGATGTAGAAACAATGTTTTGTCTTGTCTAGGCTGGTCTCCAACTCCTGGGCTCAAGCCATCTTCCTGCCTTAGCCTCCCAAAGTGTTGAGATTACAGGTATGAGCCACCGCTCCTGGCCTGGTGTACCATTTTTTAAACCAGATTTTGGTTGTTAGACATTTAGTTTTGCTATCATAGATAATAAACTTTTTGCTTCTGTTGATAAATTCCCAAGTGGAATTAGTGCATCAAAAGGCAACCACACCTCCTCTATGTTTGTCTTTTTTTTTTTCATATTACATTTTAGAAACCTAAGTTTTTACTTGAATGATAGTACTGTCTTACACATGATGAGGAAATTCACATGTCTAGATAGAACTGAAGTCAAAATTTAAGCATATATAGAGAAGTTTTTTTTTTTTTTTTTTTTTGAGACAGCATCTCGATCTGTTGCCCAGGCTGGAGTACAATAGCTCGATCTCAGCTCACTGCAACCTTTCGTCTACCAGGTTCAAGCGATTCTCCTGCCTCAGCCTCCTAAGTAGCTGGGATTACAGACGAGCACCACCTCACCTGGCTAAGTTTTGTATTTTTAGTAGAGACGGGATTTCACCATGTTGCCCAGGCTGGCCTCGAAATCCTGACCTCAAATGATCCACCCGGCCGGGCTTCCCAAAGTGCTGGGATTACAGGCCTGAGCCACCACGCCCAGCCTATATTGGTTTTTAAAATGACTTAATTTTAAACTCTTGCAATCTTTTGTTCTTTTGTTTTTCTTATACCACAGGTCATCTATTTCTCAGACAATGGAAAACTAGGGAATTGAATTCTTCAGAGTTAAGAACTTGTTCTTCCAAGTTTCCTTGTTCCTGGATGCTCTAGGCCTGAAGCCTGAAGCCTTTTCCTGTAACACTAAAACCGGACAGTCTCCTGAGACAAGACCTCCTACTGTACTCTTTCAGGTGAAGCAGAACTGCAATGACCCACATCAAAGATATTCAGAGGCTGAGCGGTGTAAGGAGTGCTCACCTGCTGGGGACACAAGTCCTCTTTTTAGCTCCATGCAGCACCTTCTTGAGACCTCTCCTCTGTAAAGCAAGAGGGGTAAATGGGTCCCTCTCTCGGGGCCTTCCCTCCAGGTCTGTGTCTAATGGCTTTTACACACACAAACACACACACACACACCCAACCAGCTCTAAGAGGGCTACTGAAGAAGAGCTGATTGGATGTGTGGGGGTCATTTTAGGGTAAGGTGTAGGGGTTTTTTTGCTTCTCTGTTCTCATATTTTGTTTTCTTATTCCTGCTCAGCGGGCAGTAAGGAATGGAGAGGTCATCAGAACCCGAATCCTTTAACATCCACCAGGAAGTGGTGCAGGCAGCTGATGCACTTGTATAAAGTCTAATTTTGCCATCTGGAGGGCAACGCTTGTTTTTGTACCAAAACAGGCAAAAACTAGATCTAAATTAAGGACAACAGGCAGAGATTATTTTAAAAAGTGAACTTGGAAGGATATAAAATCAAATTGAACATCTACATATTAGAAACTCTCCTACCTTTATAAGAAATGGTGCAGCCTGTAAACATAACTAGATACTAAAGTAAACTTGCTTGCGTGGCGGCTCACACCTGTAATCCCAGCACTTTGGGAGGCTGAGGCGGGTGGATCACCTGAGGTCAGGAGTTTGAAACCAGCCTGAACAATATGGTGAAACCTCGTCTTAAAACAAACAAACAAACAAACAAACAACTTGCTTAATTCCTTGGTTGAAAAAAAATTGTTTTGATTCAGAGTCTTGCTCTGTTGCCCAGGCTAGAGTGCGGTGGCATGATCTCCACTCACTGCAACCTCTGCCTCCCAGGTTCAAGCAGTTCTTCTGCCTCAGCCTCTTGAGTAACTGGGATTACAGGTGTGCACCACCACGCCTGGCTAATTTTTAAATTTTTGGTAGAGATGGGGTTTCATCACATTGGCCAGGCTGGTCTCAAACTCCTGACCTCAAATGACCTGCTGGCCTTGGCCTCCCAAAGTGCTAGGATTACACAGGAGACATGATACCTGGCCCAAAATTTCTAAACACTTAACATGTTATCTCGAATTTCCAGGCCTTTTAACTGGGATATTTCTCTTGTATCACAAGGACTTGGTGTGGATTAATATTTTTCAAGGACTTAAACGCATATTACACATGTAGTTTGAAAATTCCAACTTTTAAAATTTTTTTGTGATAGTGTTTCACCATGTTGGTCAGGCTGGTCTTGAACTCCTGACCTCAGGTGATCCACTTGCCTCAGCCTCCCAAAGTGCTGGGATTACAGGCGTGAGCCACTGCACCCAGCCAAAACTCCACAACTTTTATTTTATTGGAGTCTACTTGCCCAATCCTCCAACTTTAATGTCTTTAGTAACATAAAAACAAACTTCTTTTTCAGTTAGTCTCTGGTTTATAGTCACCTTCTTTTTTTTTGGAAAAAAGAGAAAAAAAGAAAAAGAAAAACAAAAGGGAGAAAGAAAGAAAAAAAAGAATCAAAGAGAGAAAGAAGGAGAAAGAGAAAGAGGGAGAGAGAATGGGAATCTTGCTTTATGGCGCAGGCTAGAATGCAGTCTAAAAATGGGTATTGAAAACCTCTTTTATGCCAACAATTGTGCTTAACAATGGAGACAGGAAGGAATAAGGGAGGAAAATAACAAACAAGCAGCCAACCAATATTTCATTTAAACCTGTGAAATGCTATGCAATTACTGAGGAGTGATTTACTTCCAATTATGTAGTCACTTTTAGAGTAGGTGTGATGTGGTGCTGATAAGAATGTATATTCCGTGTATTTGGGGTGGAGAGTTCTATAAATGTTTATTAAGTTTACTTGTTCCGGATCTGAGTTCAAGTCCTGGATATCCTTGTTAATTTTCTGTCTCGTTGATCTGTCTGATATTGACAATGTGATGTTAAAGTCTCCCACTATTAACGGGAGTCTAAGTCTCTTTATAAGTCATTAAGAACTTGCCTTATGTATCTGGGTGCTCCTGTATTGGGTGCATGTATATTTAGGATCGATAGTTCTTCTTGTTGCATCGATCCTTTTACCATTATGTAATGTCCTTCTTTGCCTCTTTTGATCTTTGTTGCTTTAAAGTCTATTTTATCAGAGGCAAGAATTGCAACTCCTGATTTTTATTTATTTATTTATTTTTGTTTTCCATTTGGTTGGTAAATCTTCCTCCATCCCTTTGAGTCTTTGTGTATCCTTGCATGTGAGATGGGTCTGGATGCAGCTTACCAATGGGTTTTGACTTTTTATCCAATTTGCCTGTCTGTGTCTTTTGATTGGGGGATTTAGTCAATTTAAATTTAGGATTAATAATAATATATGAGTTTAATACTGCCATTTGATGTTAGCTGGCTGTTTTTCCCATTAGTTGATGTAAATTCTTCATTATGTTGATGCTCTTTACCTTTTGGTATATTTTTGGAAAGGCTGATACTGGTTGTTCCTTTCTATGTGTAGTGCTTCTTTCAGAAGCTCTTGTAAAGCAGGCCTGGTGGTGATGAAATATCTGAGTACTTGCTTGTTCACAAAAGATTTTATTTTTCTTTTGCTTATGAAGCTTAGTTTGGCTGGATATGAAATTCTGGGTTGAAAGTTCTTTTCTTTAAGGATATTGAATATTGGTCCCACTCTCTTCTGGCTTGTAGGGTTTCTGTTGAGAGATCTACTGTGAGTCTGACAAGCTTCCCTTTATCGGTAACCTGATCTTTCTCTCTGACTGCCCTTAGCATTTTCTCCTTCATTTCAACCCTGGTGAATCTGAAGATTATGTGCCTTGGGGTTGCTCTTCTTGAGGAATATCTTTGTGGTATTCTCTGTATTACCTGGAGTTGAATATTGTCCTGCCTTGCTAGGTTGGGAAAGTTTTCCTGAATAATATCCTGAAGAGTATTTTCCAGCTTGGATTCATTCTCTTTGTCACATTCAGGTACACCTATCAAACGTAGATTAGGTCTTTTCACATAGTCCCATATTTCTTGGAGACTTTGCTCATTCCTTTTTATCCTTTTTTCTCTAATCTTGTCTTCTCGTTTTATCTCATTGAGTTGGTCTTTGACCTCTGATATCCTTTCTTCTGCTTGGTCAATTCGACTGTTAAAACTGAATACTTCACAAAGTTCTCGTGTTGTGTTTTTCAGCTCCATTAATTCACTTATATTCCTCTCTACATTATCTATTCTCATTAGCATTTTGTCAAACCTTTTTTCAACGTTCTTAGTTTCTTTGCATTGGGTTAGAACATGTTCTTTTAGCTCACAGAAGTTTCTTATTATCCATTTTCTCAAGCCTGATTCCGACAGTTCATCACACTCATTCTCCATCAGGCCTTGTTCCCTTGCTGATGAGGAGCTATGATCCCCTGAAGGAGGAGAGGTATTCTGATTTCGGATATTTTCAGCCTTTTTTTTTTTTTTTGAGACGGAGTTTCGCTGTTGTTACCCAGACTGGAGCGCAATGGCACGATCTCGGCTCACCACAACCTCCGCCTTCTGGGTTCAAGCAATTCTCCTGCCTCAGCCTCCCTAGTAGCTGGGACTACAGGTGCGCATCACCATGCCCAGCTAATTTTTGTATTTTTAGTAGAGACAGGGTTTCACCTTGTTGACCAGGATGGTCTGGATTTCTTGACCTCGTGATCCACCCACGTTGGCCTCCAAAGTGCTGGGATTATAGGCGTAAGCCACTGCGCCCGGCCTATTTTCAGCCTTTTTGCACTGGTTTCTTCCCATCTTTGTGGATTTATCCACCTGTCGTCTTTGTAATTGCTGACTTTCAGATTGGGTCTCTGAGTGGACGTCCAGCTTGTTGGTGGAAATGTTGTTTCTTTTTTTCCTTTGGTGGACGCCCCTCCCCCACAGAGCTGGACCTTTTTGGGTTCAGCTGTGCTTGCTGTGAAACTCTGAACCGTCAGCGTTTCCAATTGCTGTTTTTTTGTGGGGTAAGGGACCAGCCGAACCCGATCACCTCGGTCCCCGCCTCGGAGCCCCCTTTTTTTCTTTTCCTAATCGAACAGTCGATTCTCTCTCAGGTGCCCTAGTCGCCCGCTGAAAAGGCACTGGGATCTATGTAATTTCCCGTGCAGCGACCGTGCTGGCTAAAACAGTGGCGCTGACATTTGTGGTGGCACTTTTCTGCCCGGCAATCTCCTGGTCTGGCTCCCGGCTTCAGTACCCCTCTCAATCGGCTGAATGGGTGACTCTGCCTTCTTGGAGCTCCAAATGTCAACTAAAAGGGTACCCAGTCCTGCATACTCTACACTGAGAACCACCGCGCCGGGATGCTGGCAAATCAGCTGTGCTGGCCAAGAGTCACGCTGGTGACCCATGGGGCTCCTCTGTTGGGAATCTCCCGGTCTGTAGGCAACAAAAATTTGTCTGGAAGTCTGGTGTCCACTCACTCCCTGCGCCTTCACTGGGAGCTGCAACCCTGAGCTGCTGCTAGACGGCCATCTTGGATCTCTGTCTCCTATAGTCACCTTTTTTTGAGATGGAGTCTTACTCTGTTGTCCAGGCTGGAGTGAAATGGTGTGATCTCAGCTCACTGCAACCTCCCTGTCCCAGGTTCAAGCAGTTCTCCTGCCTCAGCCTCCCAAGTAGTTGGGATTACAGGCATCCACCACCATGCCCGGCTAATTTTTGTATTTTCAGTAGAGATGGGGTTTTGGCATGTTGGTCAGATTGGTCTCAAACTCTTGACCTCAGGTGATTCGCCCACCTCAGCCTCCCAAAGTGCTGGGATTACAGGCATGAGCCACTGCGCCCAGCCTATAATCGCCTTTCTATATTAATAGTCTGAAGATATTTTAAAGAGCTTTATGCTATCAATGATTTCCTAACTCCCAAGGCACTATTCAAGTTTCTTTGGTGCCTTAAGGCCTTATTAAAAAAAAAATTTGTAGAGATGGGAGTCTCATGCTGCTGTTGCCCAGGCTGGAATGCAGTGCCATGATCATAGCTCACTGCAGCCTTAATCCTGGGCTCAAGCAGTCCTCCTGCCTCCGCCTGAGTGGTTGGGACTACAGGTGTCAGCCAACACACCAGGCTAATTTTTAAATTTTTATAGACACATTATGTTGCCCAGGCTGACCTTGAAGCCCTAGGCTCAAGTGTTCCTCCTGTGCTGGCCTCCCGAAGTGTGATTACAGGTGTGAGCCACTGCACCCAGGCATAAGGCCTTATTTTAAAGCAAATACAAGTTCAGATTCTATTATCAGCAAATCACCAATTTTCTGTGATATAATAAATCTAAGGGCAAAGCGGTTTCTTATAAGGCTAAATAGAAATGCTACAGTTTCAAAGGAAAAGAATTTGCAGTAAGGAAGTCCACTTATAAGGTGGAACAGCTCTGTAGCAGCTAAAGTTTCCCTGTGGACACGTAGAGCCCAGCCAACTCAAAATTAGCTGGGGCTGTAAACCCATCTGCTTGTTGGCTCTTTTGAGATAGCTACAAGCTGTCCTGCAACAGCACTAAGGTTTCCTCAAACTCTGGGAATTGTAGGTTCATACATTTAACACCAGGTGTAGGAGGCCTGCCTAGGTTGGTCAGTCTGGTGAACATACTGGTTTAATGAATCCCAGTAAGTTACATTTTAACATTATGAAAACACTAAATGTGTTCTAAGTATTGCACAATTAAAACAAATTAGAACAATTTACGTAGTTCAGGTGTAGGTGGGGAAGGATGATGAATAGAATAACACTAAAAACTACCACAAAAATGAAAATTTAAAAACTAGACAAATGTATAAAGCAAAAAGGAATAAATTATTTCTAGTAAGTCCTGACCAAGCCATCAAATAAGGAAGCACTCCAACAGAAAGCCAGACAATTTACAAATAATCAAAAAAATGCAAATACCTATGAAAACAAGTTTATGACCTCACTAGTAATCCAATAAGCAAATTATAACAATCTTCCTGTGGGGGGGGGCAGGGCACAAACTAGCAATTCATAATGGAAGAGGCCTGTTCATACTCTGTACATACAGAAAAATAGTCCAATCATTCTGCTAGCTGTCCAGATAAGTTAGGCAATATTTACTAAAAGCCTCAAAAATGTGCTCTCTGGCCCAGTTCAACAATCTATCCAAGAAATGACGAGATAAGCCTGTGTGATACATCATGCCACTGCCTTAGTAAGAGCTTATATCTCTAAAGTCTTCTGAATTTTGCACATACTGTGCATTTATAATTTGAGAAAAACAACAACCTCCAACAAAATCTGAAAAAAGTACTATTGGATGTAGGGAGAAACAATTTTCAAAAAAAAGTCTGAAAAATAGTAATCCACAAATGTTAATTTGGCTCTGTTAATTCTATTCCATCCCCAATTTAAAGCTAGAAGCAAAACTATGAACCCCACAAAATGGCAAGGGCAACTGCTAAGGGCAGACCAACTTGGGCAACAAATGAACAGAGATCTTTTGGAAACATGTAGGTTATTAAATAATTTATTGTACTGCATTTACAAAGAAAACAGACAATGCACTCAGTAGAAAGAATAAAAATGTATTCAGGGCTTTATTTTTAACTGACAGCAAATAGAAATCCTTTAGTGAGATCATGGCAATCTGACAGTATTATAATTAAGCTCAATAACGGTACATGGGGTACTTGGAAGATCAAGTTCTACAGCTGCCTATTTCCACATCTTTCAATCTATCTGGCTCCTTAAACAATAGGGGGAAAAGCCCTTATTTAGTGGAGGAGCATTTCCAAAATGAAGTTACAGGTTCTATTAAAATTTACTGTCACATCAACTGTTAAAATAGGGCCTTTTGTGTGGTTTTTATTTCAACTTAATATCACCAGAATTCCTGTAATTCCATAATTGTGATTTTACAATGTAGAAGAGAATTCAGTTCTAGTCTATTGCTTTAGATGTAAAAACAGCTGAAAACCCAAAGTGGATTAGAATTGCTGAAGGATTTCCCTGCCGTTGTTTGATACAATCTATTCTCTTGATTCTTGAAAGGTGCATAGAAAGCCTAACTTAAACTTCTTTCTACAGGAACATGTCTGATTTCAGGAGTACCCAATGAAGGATCCGATGAATGGCTTGCCAGTTACTCAGAGTGATGTTTATGAGTTAAATGGACTGCATAATGGCACCACTTTTCCTTTGTCACTGTTGGCGGATAAATGACAAAGTAGATTCCAATCTCCCATATGGAAAGGTGGTTACCCAACAGTCTCACTGGTAGCTTGCTAGTAGTAGAGCCAAGTTGCACCTCTGTGGCTTTCTGTAAATCCGAGTCCTATAGCCGCTTCGAGAATGCTGTAATCTCCAAGGCCCACTTGGTCCATGCTAAAGAAGTGGCTGTGACCCCAGTCCTGCCCCTCTTTTGCTCTTCAGTATTACTGGAGGAATATGCAATATCTAGGTCAACTCTAGGAGAGGCTCATCCTAAAAAAAATAATTGCAGAGTCTTTTCTCATTTAAAACAAAAAAGCCTCAAGTACATCTCAATCATGTCAAAATTATGGTTAAAAACTGACATTACGCAGGGAAATAGCAGCAGAGAACGGCTAATCTTAAAAAACAACCAACCAACCAAAAAACCAAACCAACAGAAAACATTGCCATACCACCCTCCTCCTGGTTCTTTCATTTGGGGTTAAAGACCCCGAGCCTCTGAGAAAATGAGAAAGGCAAAGCCACAGAGGAAAACTGTTTCAAGGCCAGAATTTTGGGTAAGATAAAGAAAAGGCTGTACATGAGAGCAGGGACTGTTTGGAAAAGAGTAAGAATCTCAAGACCTATTTTTCTTAAATGGGAAAGCCCTGAAACCTAGATCTCTGTTCTACAGTCATCCTGATCCTTTAGTTATGGGGCAACAAACTCAAGTGAAATGAGTAAAGTGCCAGCCACGGATACAAAAACAAAAAATAAAACAGTCAATCAAAATAACTCTGGTCTTAGGGTAACAGAAGACATATTGGAAAGGACTGCTTATAGAACACCTGAGGTTCTCAATAAATTCCTATTCAATGGTTCACTTTTTGTTTACATTAAAAATCAAACTGAAGATTCAAAGATCTTAACTTTTAAAGGATGAAAGGAATTTGACAGTGCTTTGAACAGTGATAAAATGGTACCTAAATTTGGTGTTCATACAGCTGATTAAAAAACACAGTTTAAAAGTTGCAGGAAAAAAATGTGAACATAGAGAACAACACAAACAGTCCAGGAAGATGATGCGGCCTGGATACAGCAAGTTTAATGTCTCTGCTGTACACATGATTAACACCCTTTCCCCTCCTCATCCTTATGCTGGCAATAGGATATGCACTAGAAAATTTGACTCTTAGAGTCAATGAATAAAAGGATGGGCTCATACAACTTCATAGCTCTTTTCAAAAAGGATGCTTATAACTTAAAGGATGTCCTAATGGGAAGGAAAGGTACAGGGCAAGAGGCTGTTTCACATTTTAGTCCATTAGTCTTTGGCAGAGCCCAACCAAGGCCAAATTCACCTAGGATGCCCAATGGCTGTGGGGATCTCCACAGGGTCAAGTAAGCAAACCCAAATGAACATGTTGGATTAAAAAAAAAATCTAGAAACTCTTGAAGGAAGAGCTTCACCCTGAAAAAGGAAGAGGAAAATGCCTGGAGGGGAAGGGCAGAGGGTCAATGTGTAATTGCTGCTGTGGTGCTGGGCAGGGGCTTAGGAGTTAAGCCAAGGGTGCCGGAGACAGTCGGCGGCAGTGGCTCTCTTCTCAGGGATCAGCTCCAACATGGGCAGTAAGAAATCCGTGAAGCCAGCTGCCTCTTCCTGAGACCACTCATACTTCTCCACTAGAACCTCAAAAAGGCCCCAAGGTTTCAGCTTCGTGATGTGTTTCAGGTCACCTGCAGTGAAGACAGTATAAAAAAGCCACTGACCAACACAGACAAATGACAAGATCCTCTTGTGGAAATCCAGGCACTAATCCATGTATTCTATGAGGAATCAAAATTTGCAGTCAGAATCTAATCCCAGCTTCACAAAGTATTTCTTTTCTGACATATGCCTCAGAAAGAAGTGCCTCTATTTTTCATAAGGCTCTAAAAATTTAAGGTAATTTGTTTTCTCCCCTATTCTAGAATTTTTTTAGTCCCAGTCAAACTGGGTATGACAATCAGGAACTAGGTATTTACTAAAATAAACGTGAAATGTCTATATCTTCAACATGGTCTCATATGGTGTGCAGAGGCACTCTAGCACCATACATCGAGAATAATTTGCTTATACTCTTTTTTGTGTGTATGTGGCTCAATACTTTAGTAAATGTTGCTTCATGGTGAGATAGTAATTTAAAAATAAAATATCATGTCAAGCATGGATAAAAGCAACAGAACAGAAAACCCAAATCCTATACAGCTTTCAGATACAACAGCTTCATATACTCTATACCAGGGACCCCCAACTATACACCAATACCCACTATGGTACCAGTCGGCGGTCCACCAGGTCCGCACAGCAGAGGTGAGTGGTGGGTAAGCGAGCATTACCGCATGAGTTCCGCCTCCTGTCAGATCAGTGGCTATGTTAGATTCTCATAGGAGCATGACTCCTACTATGAACTGCACATGTGAGGGATCTACATTGCATGCTTCGTAAAAGAACCTAATGCGTGACAGGACAATCTGAGGTGACACAATTTTATCCCAAAACCACCCCCCGACCCCCATCCCACACTGTCCATGGGAAAACTGTCTTCCACAAAACCAGTTCCTGGTGCCAAAAAGATTGGAGACCACTATTCTATACTATACTGAAGTATCAACCTCATTGTCTGAAGTGACAAATTTTTAAAAGACAGTCAATTATGAATGGCTAAGGTAAATGCTGCTTTTAAACTTTTAAGATGCCCAGGCACATTGGCTCATGCCTGTAATTCCAGCACTGAGAGAGGCTGAGGTGGGGGATCACTTGAGCTCAGGAGTTCAAGAACAGCCTGGGCAACACAGTGAAAGCCTGTCTCTACCAAAAATACAAAAAAATTAGCTGTGTGTGGTGGCACATGCCTGTGGTCCCAGCTACTTGGGAGGCTGAGGCAGGAGAATCATTTGAAACTGGGAGGTGGAAGTCACAGTGAGCCAAGATCACGCCACTGCACTCTTGCCTATGTGACAGAGTGAAAGCCTGCCTCAAAAAAATAATTTTTTGGAAATAAAAATTTTAAGTCTTTTCTTAAAATAGGCACAGTGAGTGTCTATTTGATTACCTACCTGTTAAACACACAGGCCTTAATCTGACTACACACAAGGAGGAACTCTTACGAAACATTTTGCAATTTTTCCACCTGAAACGAGGTTTAAGGAAGAGTAATGTGGCCAGGGAGGGTGGGTCACACCTGTAATCTCAGCACTTTGGGAGGCTGAGGCAGGTGGATCACTTTAGGTGAGGAGTTTGAGACCAGCCTGCCGACATGGTGAAACCCCACCTCTACTACAAATATAAAAATTAGCTGGGCATGGTGGCACACGCCTGTAAGCCCAGCTACTTGGGAGGCCGAGGCAGGAGAACTGCTTGAATTGGGGAGGCAGAGGTTGCAGTGAGCCAAGATGGTGCCTCTGCACTCCAGCCTAGGCAACAAAGCAAGACTACGTTTAAAAAAAAAAGAAAAGAAAAGAAAAGAAAGAAAGGGTAATGTTTCTGAGGATGGCTCCTGTCAAGAATTGAGAAAAGTCATTTTTCTCAGCACTTCTGTAGAAGTTGTAAGGAAAAAGGGAACCATGGCACAATGGGGGTAAAAAAAAACAAAACAAAACAGACTGTAGATCAGGTTTTCACATTTCAGGGTTTTTGCAATGCATAAGAAATCTATTGTTGGCTGGGTGCGGTGGCTCATGCCTGTAATCCCAGCACTTTGGGAGGCTGAGGCAGGCAGATCACCTGGCCAACATGGTGAAACCTTGTCTCTAATAAAAATACAAAAAATTAGCTGGGGCATGGTGACGTGCGCCTGTAGTCCCAGCTTCTTGGGAGGCTGAGTCAGGACAATTGCTAGAACCCAGGAGATGGAGGTTGCAGTGAGCCGAGATTGTGCCATGGCACTCGAGCCTGGGCTACAGAGCGAGACTCCATCTCAAATATATCAAGTCAAAAATGGAAAGTTTTGCTTTTTGTTTCTTTTTAATAACTAATACATAGAACTAAAGTGTAAAGTTCATTTGCATGACTAATGTACTTAGACTGATTGTGTTAGGTGTCACTGGGATGAGTGAGATGTAGTCCCTGCCCTTATTATGTCAGAAGCTTAAATTACCTGCCCTTTGGTAGAGGCAGTTCTTAGACCAAATGCCAGCAAAAAATGCGCCTGTTTTTCAGAAGTACTATAGAAGTAACCAACCAACTTTGTTCAGGCACTATATATATTAACTCATTTAGTAAGAAGTATACATTATTATCCTCATTAAGAAATCAGCAAACTGAGGAACAGTTAGATCCTGTCAAAGGTCACATGGCTAGTGGAGTAACCAGGATTTGAGAGTCCAGTACCAGTCTCTAATCATTTTTTTCCTGAGACAGGATCTTGCTCTGATGCCCATGCTGGAGTGCAGTAGCACAATCATGGCTCACTGCAGCCTGGGCCTCCCAGGCTCAAGTGATCCTTCCACCCAAGCCTTTGGAATAGCTGGGACCAAAGGTGTGTGTCACCATGACCAGCTAATCAAAAACAAAATTTTTTTTT